TATAAAAAAAATGGCCCGATAAAATTGGATAGAAATGGTATATAATTGTATAAAATTATATATAATTGTATAAAATTATATAGCATGATATATAATTATTTCCATAGAAATAAAAATATCTGGCATGGGCAGGGATCGAACCTGGGACCTGACGCTTGCAAGACTGATTCACTACCTGTTTACCAACTAGAACTTACTTGAAAGACAGAGTGTGTAGTAACTATAAGTAATGAAAATCGTACACATGATCGATTCGTAATGAACAAAATTTTTTATGAAATTTATAAATTATTCATTATTAATATATATATGTATATAATAATGATATCTATGTGTAGATTTATAAAATTATCTATGTATACGTAAAATCGCAAAAATGATTCTAAGAAATTTTTAAGGTATCTTAACATGTGTTCCGTTGCTTTAGAATCTATAATTACTTTAAAATTAAAAAAAATAATAGAGGTAGAATCAGAATTAAAAGCTCAAATTTTGAAGGAATTATTTGTTTAGTATATGGAACTATATATTGCTGAAGGGTCTTAAGTAACAATTTTTAAACTTGACGAAACTGTTAATTTTTGTGAAATTTAATTTTTTTATAAACTTAATAAAGTTCCTATTATTTCATCCGCAAAATACTATAAATTAAAAGATTATTAATCATTGAAGAAACAGACTCTTGGTTTAAAAAAAGAGAACGTCTTACAGTAATCACAATATATTGAATCCTGTAAAATTTATAACAGATAGATAGATGTCTGTACTTACATAAAATTGCAGAAATCTCTTTCAAGACCATGAATTCTATACAATTATACAAAGTTGTATACAATTATATATAATTGTATCTGATTATATAAAGTTATCTATAATTGTAAAAGAGAATTCCGTAGAATTCTATATAAATGTATCTCCATATATATAATTTTATACAATTTCATAAAATTTTATAAAGTTGTGAAGGCAAATCACATAAAATTTTATACAATTTTGTCTAATTAGATACAATTCTATACAATTGCATCTAATTATATATAATTTAATTGTATAAAATTGTATAAAGTTGTGAAGGCGAATCACATAAAATTTTATATAATTTCATGCAATTGTATCTAATTAGATACAATTGTATCTAATTATATATAATTGTATAAAGTTGTAAAGACGAATCACATAAAATTTTATATAATTTTATAAAGTTGTGAAGGCAAATCACATAAAATTTTATATAATTTTATGCAATTGTGTCTAATTAGATACAAATTTATACAATTGTATCTAATTTTATATAATTCTCCTTCATGATTTTGAATAATTTCATATAATTGGATATAATTATATAGAATTATATATAAATTATATCCAATTATATATAGACGATATACAATTATATATAATCGTATCTAATTATATAAAATCTTTTTTACTCGGGATGTTGAATCAGACTTTAGACTGTATTTTCTTAATTATAAGAAGAAAAAGACGTTTATTTTCGAGAAAAGATTTTTATTAGTTATTATAAATCTGTAGCACTCATTTAAATTAGAAATAACAACACTATCAATAAAAAATAATTCAGCCAAACAGAACCAAAATTCAAGTACTGTTTGGTTGAATTGCAAAGATACGTATATTTGAATCCCAGTTAAGACAGAATGTGCCTTTAGTCATGTCATCACAACAGGATGAGGATGTGTTTCATTTTTAGTTTATTTTTCAAATATTATTTCAGTAGACTTGCGTAGATTTAGAAAATAATGTGAAGTTATTCCAGAAAATATACGCCTCAACGCTTTACTCAATTTCTTGAATAAATTAAATTCGTGCTGATCTATATAATTCAAAAAGAAGAGAAAAAAATTAATTATTTCTAATATTCAACAAAGACCAAGCGAACAAAATTTGATTATTTAAATGTGCACGCTTCAAGCATTCAAATTTTACAATAAAAAATTAATCTAGACATGAATTAAAAAAAAAAAAAAAACGAGTAGTTGAATTAATTGAATAATTTTAGTTCCGTACTAATCTTGCCACAGTATTTTTAAATAAACACTTTTATTATAAATGAAAAATTTGACACTAATTCAGGAAGTTATTGTTATTAGTCTGATTTTCGGAAATTGAATTTGCTAACAGATATTTTTTTGTGAATTTTTCATGATTTTTGAGAGAATATATGGATAAAGATGTAGCTTACGATAATTCAGAGGGTAAAACTAAATTTAAATTCTCTATGAATTTGAATTGGTTAAGGCCGACTGATCTGAAAAAACTTCATGAATAAAAGTAGGAAAAAATTTTTTTCAGCTTCAGGCTATAAAAGTCAATAAGTTAAAAAAACTGTGAAGTTATTTATAAGAATATTAAATATTTTTGTCAGTTAACCACGTTTTAAAAGACAAGTTGTTGTCAAGTATCGATGGTTAGAAGTCCCAAATAACGTCTCTGACCGATTCCAAAGTTATATCTGCGTGCGTGTGTGCGCGCACGTGTGTTTGTGTGTGTAAGTAAATATATAAACCTCACATAACTATTGACTGGCTCTACCGGTCGTAACATTGCTTGTCGCATACCATAAGGATTTATTGCTCTTTGATTTCGTGTAAATTTGCACCGATTTAGTCTGGTAGATTTTGAAAAATCTCAAAAATAAAATTTTAAAACATAAATCTGAAAAACGGTTGACCCTGCAAGCCATTCTTGGAACTTCCCGCTATGTACGAGTTCAAAACGCTCGAGAAATAATCTACTTTTTAATTTTGAGCTCTTCGAGCTTTTATATAATTTTATACTTTTTCAAGCTCGAAAATCTAGTGGTTGTTGAACATGCTTTTTTGAAATTTTTAATTGTGATATCTTCCGATCGAATCAATCGTTTTTGATGGGACTCATAACAATCGACGCAGTTTTTTGAGCACGAAAAGATTATTCCTCACTTGCTATACGATTCGAAATTTTAAAGTTGTATAAAAAAAAATAATTTTTTACAAATTTTTAGACAACGATTTCTCTTAAATTAATGAAACAATTTTGATGCGATTTGCGGTAATCAATATTTTTTTTTGAAGTTAAAAGCTGATTAGTTTTTAGAATTGATCGATACACTTGTCTTAAAAGTTATTGCCAAAAATCATTTTTTTTTTTTAACTTTATTTCTAAAATTTCTCAAAAAAATTTACCTAGCCGAAGTGGTTCAAATTTACATGAAATATAATGGCAACAGAACTAACGAATGCTGTAAACCGCGTTTTAGTCACTCACACACATACATACATGCAAAAGGACATTCTCGTAGGAATAGTCTGAATAGCTTTCTAGGACCTTAAAATGTAGAGATCTGATGAGAAGTAGATTTTTTAAAACTATGGTGAAACCAATAACTTCCCGATTTTTGGAAAATCATTAACTTTCATAGCAGGAAGTTAACAATGTTGTATTGGAATACCTATCAAACTGCTGCACAGATTATTCTAAAAATCTTATCAGCTCTTGATCTCGAAAAGTATCGTTGATTGCCGAACCGCATCAATTTCAATTGATTCGTTCAAGCAATACCGTTGTCGAAAAAATTATAAACAATTTTTTTTGTTGCATAACTTCTGGGTTTCTTCTGAAATTTCTAGGTGAATCGTTTTAAATCATAATTTATCTTTTTGTGGTCAAAGACTGTGTCGAACACCGCAAACCGCATCAAAATCGATTGATTCGCTCGAGAGATATCGGAACTCGAAATTATCGACGAAGGATTTTATCAATACAACTTATAGATTTTCGAAATCGAATATTTACAGAAGTTTAATTTGTGAGCTCAAAGAGCTCAAGATGTCATAATAGGAAATTTTTCAAGCTTTTCAAACTTGAAAACAGTGGGAAGTTCAGGGATTACTTGTAGGGTCAACCGTTTTTCAGATTTTTTAGCTTCCAAATTTCTGGTTAGATCGATTTGTGGTATTCTATGGCTAATATTTTTTAAGTCTGATAAAATCGTTCGAACAACGAAGTTCAAAAGTTTTCCAATGTTGTGAAATACTCCCCGCATAGGTAAATTATTGAACTCTCAAAGAGCTAGGTATACTTTCAAGTGTTTTTAGTTCAAAAATAATAAAACCTTCAGGATCAGTTGTTTTTTTGCATTTCGATTTTACTTGCGTATTTGTTTTGTACTTAAAAATATTTTTATTGTTCTTATTTTACGATGTGGCTAATAAAAGTATCCTATTGAATATAAGAGAGTGTGTGAGGCATTTACTTTTGGATTTTCTTCACTGTTTAATTTTTAATGTAGTGGTGTGCTCAAAATCGAAATCTATCATATGAAATTCATTCTTGTTCTTTTTCGTTTTCATAAAAGTAAAACTTACGCTAAAATCACTTGAAAACAATTCAGTTATCGCTAAACTGTCCGCAATTTTATTGGATTGTTTTTAAACTTAAATAATAGTAATATACCAATTTATGGAATTGATATCATGTATCAGAATCACAAAAAAAAATTAATAGTCGTGTACACATCACTATTAGTAAACTCATGAATTATCATTAGATTTAATAGTTGATATTGGCTTAGTTTCAATCTCAGAAATAAGCGGCGCAAATGGGATTATTGATAAACTTTCTTTACGTCCACCTATAGGTGATACAACTGATGACAGTGTAAGATTTTTCTGTTGACTGATTCTGATAGATTCACTGTTATCGGCTACTCCTGAAATCTTAAACAAATTTTCTCCGTTCGAAGCTATATCAGTAGATAAATGTTTTAGTGTACGATTTGAAGCAGTTAATGGCGGATAGAATTCACGAGTTTGGAAGCTGTCAAACTTAGACTCTGGAGACAATGTGACTTTTCGATTAACCGAGGTAACATCTATTTTATCTTTGGTTTCCATTTTATTTATTTTCATGTCCAATTGTTTATTAATCGGTATCCAGCCGTTAAAACTATTATTATTATTATTATTATTATTATTATTATTATTAACATTATTATTGCTATTGTTATTAGTATAATTATTTATACTATTATTAGAAGTACTGTTATCAAATGATGATTTACTATAAGATTTCAATATTTTAACAGGGTTTTCTAATAATGGCAAATTATCGGTATTCGTTCTTATGGATCGACCATCAAATAAATTTCTACTTATAGGCACCCAATTATTTGATTGATCTATAGATTTGTCCAAATCTCGTGTCTCATCAATATTAAGCCCACTATTTTTATTGGTAGTATTACCTAATACTTCCGACAATTCAAACTTAGACGATATTATTTTATTATTGACTGTTTTTTCAAACAATTCTAAATTAATATTTTTTTTTGATCTGTTTACAGCATCTATAATTTTTATATCTTGTGAATCCTTATAGTTATCTTTAATCGGTAGTAAAGTCGTAGAAATAATATGACTTTCAGATGAACTATTGTCTTCACTAATGTTCGTCAACGAAGGAAAATATTTTAGCTTTTCACCTCGTTCATCAATAAAACTTGGTGTATATTGTGATATAAGCGGCAAAAACGTACGCCGAGCATATTTTTCCGCTTGTTCTAAAATGTTAGCAAGCTTTTCCGGTAATAATTGGACAGTGAATCCTTTGTTTGTTTCTTTCTTACTCTCAGCATCTGAATTAGAATTTTCTACTTTTTTTTCAGGTACTTCTGACTTTTCAATATTTTGCCTGATAATACGAGGTCTTAAAAGTGGCTCAGTTACCTCAGGTAGCCGCATTGATCTACCAGTCTCATGTTTATTGACTTTTAATACTGGCTCATGTATTTCACTTATAAAATTAATTGACGGTGTTGAATCTGTAGGTACAGAAGAAGTGGTGGAAGTAGAAATAACATATCCAGCATCAGAAAATCCTCGTCCCATTTCAACTAGTGGACTTCCTAATAAATTTGATCTATTATCATAAATAACAGATGACCAAAATTTAGAGTTATCTTTATTTGTATCCTGATGAATCAGTTTGTGATTCTCACTTTGACTAAATTGATTTGTTTTATCGATTAATGTCATTTTTAAATTTTGATTTTTTGTAAATGGACCCATGTTTGTCTGTGGAAAATTATTTTCATCCGATAACATTTGCACAGAAAATTTATTTTCTGATTCAAAATTTTGATTCTTTACAAAAGGCCCAATATTATGTGAATCAACTTTTTCATTGAACGTTTTGTCAATTAAATCTTCTTGGGGATTTGTTAAAGTTGTTGATGACAAACTATGGTTATTTGAGGTATAATCTAATTCTATTGGAATGTTACATTCACCCGGATATAATAATAAATAAACCGAATTTTCAGATTCGAGAGAAAGGCTTTTTTTGCAAACGGATATGCTTTTACCAAAACTATCTAGGACGGATATTTTGTCAATGTCCCAGGAAACAAGACCAGATGAAATCCAGCCACTATAGGCAGTGTATTTTACCTGAAAAAATCATTGAATCATTGTTTTACAAGATGAGTATTACTGTTTGAATATTATTTTACTTTTTTACCTCGACTGCTTTTAAGTTCACTATGACTGGATGAGGTACAACTATTTTATGAAGAATCGTTCCAACTAATAATTCTTCATCATCTTTTCGGGTCATAGTAAAAGTCTCATTGAAAGACCCAGATCCAATAAGTGTAACTTGTAGCTTTCCATAACTTTTTGTAGGTCTTTTTCCATGACTATTGTATACTTTTATTTGATATTGAAGAGCGCAAAACGGTTCTTCTTCTCGGGTTATTAAATACAATTGTCCTCGAGCATTTGAAGTGTCACTATAATAACCCATATCGCCACAAAGTCTACCAGGACCACAAGGGAAACATTCACCTTGTAGAAAACCATTGTATCCTTTTTCACATGGAAATGCCGGAAAGCGACATTTCGGGCTAACCGAATCAGTGAAAAATTTATATGCTCGTCGGTGATTGCATAGTGATCTTCCTTCAATTGAGCTAGCTATAAATAATTAAAATTAAATATTTGATTTACTTATTCGTGATTTTAGAGTGATTATAGAGTCATCTTTTATATATAAAAGGTGACTCCATACCTAATAACCCTTAGAAAAAACAAACTAAAACAATATAAAAGCAATAACCTAGTACAAACTGTATATCTATAATAGGGTGTTATAATAAATTCATATTATCTTAAAACTTCTTTTTAATTCAAAAATAGTTACGTTGATATATTTTTTAATTTCTCGTTAAGAAAATTGAAAATTAAATAATTGGGGAGTTGTTGGTTTTATCCCGATTTCGAAAATCGAGTTCTCTCTTTATAGAATTGGAGTATTCAACTTTTCTTCTGGAAAAATTTTTCTAGCTTCTAATGTGGCTTTAAAGAAGGAAAAAAATCATTTTTTGGAGCACTGTTTTTTATTTATATAAAAATATAGACTTAATGCACTACGCTTTCGGACAATTCTTTTATATATTTTGTTAAATTTTTATTTTCAGTTATCGAGATAAAGTAAAACTTATTTTATTTGTCGCCAATAAAATTTTCTGGACAATAATAGCAAAAGTATTGTATATTCCTCGGTTGCGGTGTAATGATTCCGATAATCTCGATTTTACGAAATTTGTCTAAAATTAGTGAAATTTTTTTTCACAAAAACTCATTATTTATTTATGATGATGTATTTATGTATGTTGTAATATATAACAAGACTTTATAGTTGAAAAAATTAATCAATTAATTTAAATAAAAATAAATCAACATTAAATCACATGTTAAGGTTTAAATTTTTGCCCGAATTTTGTAAATTTTTATCACCAGTGAGCGTGACAGTCTAGATGCATGGTCCCCTATAAGGTCGAAAACTGTTTTCAGACTTATTATTTTTGAACATTAAATTTCTTTTATATCTGAAATTTTTTGGGTATTAAGGAGTGATTCAGACAATTTTCACAGTGACATCCATACGTCTGTTAATTTTTCACATGGGTGCATGTGTAAGTATGTAAAAGTAATCAAACCAATATTGACGACCGTGTTTCCTAAACTCAAAATTTTAATTTCTCTAAATCTCTCTAAATTAATTTTATTTCGAGCTAAAGAGTCAAATATATTATCATCTTCACTTCAGTTTAGATACATACAACTATATGCTTAGATCAAACTAATTTTATTATAATTTTAACTTTCTATCGTAATTTAGAACCAAGTGTCTATACGAAGTAAAATTTTTAAAAATTGATCAAAATCCATCCAGTAGCTTTTGTGAGATGCGCACACATCGACTAACTTCTATTATTTCACTCACATCAAAGATTATACACATAGAATATTTGTAAAATTGTATTTTTTTATGAATTTTAGTACAATAATATCTTTACAGCAAGATAGAAAGTCTTGAACCTACAAGAAAATTATTTTGTGATTTATTTTTTATATAAATTTTGAATAAAAGGTCTTTCTGAAAAAAAAAATTCATAAAAAAACGTGTTTTTGCGCGCAACTGGATAAAACCCCTTAATCAGAAGATAAAATATTTTTCCGATAGATGAAAAATGTCATTAAATTGACAAATTTTTCAGTCGTAGTGTTAAAAAAATTCAAATAAACAGACAATTCTAATCATTCTTTGGTAATTCGAAAAAATCAATTTTTTTCGATTTTTTTCGTCAACGAAAAAACACGAACAAATCGACCGATTTTGACCGGCTTGGCGGAGATCGACGTGGTTTTTTTATGTTAAGAGCTAATTAGTTTTTGGAATCGATCGGTGTAGCCGTTTAAAAGTTATTCCAAAAAAACCACATTTTTAAAATTTTTTATCGTAGTTTTTTTAAGATTTCTCAAAATCTACAGGTCCGAATCGGTCCATCGTGTGTTCAAAATCTAAGTTTAGTCAAGCGCTTTTAGATGGCGTCAACCGCGATGAAATCAGTCAAGCCGTTCAAAAGTTATAAGAGGTTTACATACATCCACCCACACACACATATATACAAACATACACAGACGTAGTGACACTATCACGGGAATAGTCAGGGAAGCTTCCTAGGACCTCAAAACGTCGAGATCTGACGAAAACTCGATTTTCGAAAAACGGGGTAAAACCAACAACTTCCCGATTTTCGAAAATTTTCAATTTTCTTAGCGGAAAGTTAAAAAAAAAAAAAAAAAAAGTTAAAAGGTAAAAATAAAACATTTAATAAATAAGTAAG